CCACATCATTATTATTTTTTAAATCCAATTTCTCCCCAATTGTATATTGGAGTTGTTTTTATTTTTCTACTACTTGCCCAGTGTGCAAAATTTGTGCATGGGGGGGTGGGTATCCCTCAGCCTGGCCTGCACCCTCTTCAATCTGGGACCCCTTCGGGGATGTCTGACTGCCCATTTAGGCCCGATCCCACACCAGCAGTTGGACATCCCTCTCACAATCTGGGACCGCTGGCTCCTAATTACTCACCTGCCTGCCTGCCTGATCACCCCTAATCACTCTGCTTGCTGGCCAGCTCACCCCCAACTTCCCCCACCTGCTGGCCTGCTCACCCCCAAATGCCCCTCCCCCCCAATCCCCTCGTCGTCAGCCTACTTGCCCCTCCTGCCAGTCTGCTCATTTCCAATGGGCCTTCTCTGCCAGCCTGATTGCTCCCAACTGCCCTCCCCTGATGGCCTGATTGCCCCTAACCACCTCTGCTTCAGTGCTGCCACCATGGCTTCATTTGGAAGGACATCTGGAAGGTCTCCTGGTCTAATTAGCAATATTACCCTTTTATTAGTATAATAGTGGCCGGTGCACAAAATGTGTGCACATTAAAAGGAGATCAATTAGAGGAAATATTTTAATGTTGCTATTTGCCCTTTCTCTATAATAGACATGTCAGAGATGAAAGAAAAATAGTACTGTATTTTAAATGTATATGAAAATCTTCCTCCTGCCAGAGACTGGGGCATGCTGCAGGACCCAGAGTCAAATCGCCACACACCCACGGTGCCTCAAAATTGCGTGAGATCCAGACCCAGCCAGCCTCAACCCCATTAGGCGAGATCCAAACCCAGCTGGCCCCACCCTTGTCAAGCCCCACTAGGCAGGGGCTGCAGCCTCAGGTCCCCCATCAAGCCCCGCCAGATGGGGTGGCGTGGCCTCAGGGCTCCTGTCAAGCCCCGCTGGGCAGGGGGCACAGGCTGAGGTCCCCTGGCCCAGCGCTGGTGTTGGGGACATGGCCTGAGGTCCCCCGTCAAGCCCTGCTGGGTAGAGGACATGGCCTGAGGTCCTCTGTCAAGTCTGCCGGGCGGGGATAGGGTCTGAGGTCCCCTGTCAAGCCCCACCGAGCCTGAGGTCCCCCAGACTGGGCTGGGGTGGGGGGCATGCCTTGAGGTCTTCTGTCAAGCCCCACCGGGTGGTGGCTGCGGCCTGAGATCCCCCATTAAGCCCCGCCGGGCAGGGGGCACAGCCTCAGGTCCCTCATCAAACCCTGATGGGAGGGGCACAACCTCAGGTTTCCCAGATCCAGGTTGGGGGGTGCGGCCTTAGATACCCTGGTCCAGGGTGGGGGGAGCAGCCTCAGGTCCCCCAACCCAGCACAGGGGCAGAGGGTTCACCTTGAGATCCCTCGAGTTCCACCAAGCAGGGGGTGCAGCCTCAGGTTTCCCGGCCCAGCACTGGGTGGGGGGCCTAGTCTCAGGTCTTCCAGTGCTGGGTGGAGGGTGCAGTACCAGGGTGCAGGACACATCTTAAGGTCCCCTGTCAAGCCCCACCAGGCTGGGGGCACAGGCTCACATCTCCTGCCCTGGCCCAGAGCTACACAGCCTCAGGTCCCTGCTGGCTGCTCCTTAAGGCTCAGAAAGGGAACTCGGCCTCTCCTGTGGGTGCAGCCATCTTTGTGATGATGTGATGGTCAATTGTATATTCCTTCTTTATTAGATAGGATAGATTTTAAACAATGCTTCAATGAACATCTTTCTGTAGTATAAGTTTCCTAAAGTGAAAATGCTCTATCATAAGCTATTCATGTTTTCAATATTTCTAGATATTGCCAAAATACTCTCCAAAGTAGTTGTATCAACTTCACATATATGATTAGTATATTAAAAATTTTTTTTCCCATATCCTTGTCAATACCTGACATTATTAGTTTTTGCCAATGGGTTAGGTAAAAATGGAATTTTATTAAAATCTCATTTTTTAAATTTTTGATTACTGATGCGGTTTAAACATTGTCACATAGTCACTGACTACTACTATTTTTTTTTGTTGTTTATTGCCTATTCACATACTTTGTCTATTTTCCTATGGGATTTTTGCCTTTTTTCTTTTCATATTAAAACTTGCTTTTATTCTATTATTCTACCCTCTCTAATACATATATATACACATAAGTATATATATGTATATAATTTTATGTCTATGGATTTATTATGTAAATCTATCTATGTAGAGATATTCTGAATCACTTGAAAATAAATTACAGATCTCATAACATAAATGCTTTAGTATACAATTCTCAAGATTAAGAATGCTATCCCATCTCTTTAAGATTGAGGACTGCATTTGTTATCATGTCTTCTAGGTCTCTTCAATCTGCAAGAATTCCATTCTTTTAAAAATTACAATGGCTCATTTAAACAATCCAGGCCAGGTTTCCTGAAAATATACCACATTCTGGGTTTATCTGCCTTATTCCTCATGTTTAACTTGTTCTAATATCCCCTACATATCTTTTAAATTTGTGCTTACATCTAGATCAGGGCTTAGAAACTCTGGCACTATTGACATTTGGGACCAGATAATTGTTGTGGAGAGGCTGTCCTGTAGGTTTTTAAATGTTCAGCAGCATCCCCAGCCTCTACTCATTAGATGCAGTAACAACTCTCTCCATGCCCCTTCCCTGCCTGCTCTCCTCTCCTATTATGACAAAAATGTCTCCAGACATTGTCAAAGTGCTCAAGGGGTTAAGGGGATGGGGAGCAGGGTGGGGATCCACCCCCTGGTTGAGAACCACAGGCTAGAAGTTTGATGAAAATCAAGTTAAACAATTTTGGCAAGAATAGTTTTATAATATGTTTATTCCTAATTGCATAACACCAGTAAACACATAATATAAGACTGTCCCATTATTAGCAATTCTAGCTTTGGTCACTTGTTTAAGCAGTGATTTTTTTTTAAGGTACATTTTCTATTTTATAAGTAAGTTATGGCCTGACATTTTGAAACCATGTGAAGATTTTGTGCCCATACAATCTTCCACCCAGTGGTTTTTGCATTCTCAGATGAACTTTGCCTGAATTATTTGTGGTTGATTTGAAAAATAGTGATTTTCTAATCCTATTATTTGTTCATTTAATGTCTAGTATTTCTCTAAAAGAAAATTTTTCATTTTTCCTTATTTATTTTTAGTGGTACTCTGAACTCATGCATGTTATCTAATTTTTTATTCAATTATTGTAATTACTATATGTATTTTTTGATGCTCATATTGCCCCAACTTTCTCCAGTGGAAATCCTCAACCCATTCTTTAAAACGGATCGTAAAGCAAGACAATTAATTGTTGTGTGGAGCTTTTAAAGTAATTGTAAGCATCACATAGTGGTAACTTCTTACTGTATTACCCTGCACATGTGAACCAAAGTGCAAAGGCTTCACATTTTAACCAGTGAAGAATTCTGATGATTTGAACAACCTATCATTTTCATAATTAACAAGTTACATTAAGATTCAACAACCAATAAAAATTAGCAATTTAATTTTGAGTCATCTATTTACTTCACAATTATAATCTTTTCCTGACTCCTAGATGATGACTAGTGCCTATACATGGAAATATACTTTGTGATATATATATATATCTATCTATATATATATCTATATATATCCTTGTGTATATACATTGTATATATACTACAGCAAATTGTAGGGAATAGGATAGGGTGACTTCTATTCCTAAAAGTGCTTGGGAACATATTACTATAGCATTAAAGCTCAAGAAAGCATAGAGACTTTAGAACTAAGACTTTTGGGAAGCCGAAACGGCATAATCCAGTTAAAATGAGAAAAAATGTCTATTAAGGATTTAGCTCCACCCGGGTAATTATCCCTTTCCTCCGGTCCCAGGAGCGGCTCTGACCAGATCGGCTGCCTGCTCTGAATCTGTCCGCCTCGGTGTTGGGGCTTAAGTTCATAACAGTCTCACCCTGCGACTTGGCAGCTGAGGCCAGCGCCACTTGAATTGCTTTCCCGGGTCCCTCAGAGGTGACTGCGGAGGGTGCGGTTCCCGGGCAGCGTGCCTCCTGATTGGCTGGCGCGGGCCTCGGCCGCCCAATCACACCAACGTGTCTACCACGCCGCAACGTGCCGCCGCCGCGCATGCCCGTTCTGGGAGCAGCGCTTGCGCGTCAGCGCCGGGAGAGCCGAGGGCACCGGCTGCTGGGTGGCGGGGGCCACGTCGGGGTGTGCCCGCGCCGACGTCACCGGGCCGCGCTGGAGTCCGGACGGGCCCAGCACTGACCCAACTATCTGGTTTCCCCACGTCCCTTAAGTGCAAGTTTTCGTGGTTGGACCATTCACTTTTGTGGTGGGATCCGACCTGGACAATCCGATTTCCCCGAAGGGACTGGGAAAAAAAAAAAAAAAAGATCCACTGCGTCCAGGGCAGCCAGAGCGGGGTGAAAGGAGCGAGTCTGTGGAAGAAAGTAAACTTTTCTCGCCATGCAGAGTGGGCTTTGAGTCCTCCTGCACCAAACGCGGCCGATAAGAGCCGCCTGGAAATGACCCCCCGCCACCGCCCGGTCCTGCTCTCCCGGAGCTGACCATCGCCCGGCGCTGGCACCGCGGGGGTCACTCTCTGCCCCGCAGCTAGTTCCCGAGGCGTGCACCTCCGGAAAGCGGCCCGCACCGGACGGCGGCCGGCTCGGCGCAGAGGCACAGTCTCGTGGTCCCGGCCGACCAACCGGCTCCCCGGCCGCAGCCCGGCCCCGGCGGGTCGCCGCCCCGGCGCGCAGGCCCCGGCCCCGCGCGGCCGCTCGGAAAACGCGGCGGGCGGAACCCGCACGCGGAAGCGCCGGCCGCACTGAGCATGCCCAGTTGCAGGGCCGACCAGAGGAGTTTTCTTTCTTTTTCTTTTCTTTCTTTCTTCTTTTTCTTTTTTCAAAATTCGTACGTAGGAGGCCGTCCCCGCACCCCCACCGCAGCCCCCCAGCACCCCAGGCCTAAGCAGCTGCCATGGCCGAGGTCCCCGGCGCGGCGCTGTCCCAGGCGGGTTGGTAAGTGTGAGTCCCGCCGGCCGCGGGCGCGGAGCGGGGCCCCGGGCGGGTCGGGGCTGGGGGCGGCGGGGTGCGCGGCGGGGGAGGCGGAGGCCGCCGCCCGCCCCCCGGCCGCTCCCGGGGATCCTCCGGGCCGGCCCCGCCCCCGACGCCGCGCGGAACCGACCGGGTCCCCCCGCTCCGCTCGGGGCGGCGGCGCGGCCTGGGCCCGGGGCGGCGGGCGGGGGAGCGGGGCGCGGGCGGCGGCCAGGCCGCGGGGAGCACCTGCAGCGCCTCGCGCCTGTCCCGGGGCGCAGGGCCGGGGAGCCGGGGAGCCGGGGGGCCGGGGGGCCGGGGGGCCGGGGAGCCGGGGAGCCGGGGGCGGCGGCGGGAAGTTGCGGGCAGAGAGCGCGCAGCCCCTGCTTCCTCCTCCTTCCCAAGCGCGGAGCCCCCGTCACACCCGCAACTTCCGAAGCCGAAAAGCACCGCGTGGTCCGTGCCTGCGGGCGCCCCGTACAACTTTCTTTCTTTCTTTTTTTCTTTCTTTCTTTCTTTCTTTTTTTTTTTTTTGAAGGGATGGAGGTGTTCTGATATTCGTGCTAAGATTTTTAGGATCTGAAACCAGTAACATGTTATTACTATGAAAGTAAGCAGCTTCTGGAACTGTGGCCATTATAGCTGTGAACCGAGAGTTAAGTTCAGCAAAGCGTTCCCAGGCCTGCACAGGCACAGAGTGAGGGGACGGCGGGGAGGAGGGTGGAGGAGACTTGCCCCTGCTCCCTAGAGGTTCACAGTCTTCCCGGAAAGAGGAGAGGGAGGCGGTAAAAAGGACAGGCACGAAACCGGGAAAGAGTGGTTCATTGTGTCAGGGAGCTGGCAGATGTACAGTGGATTTGGAGAGGGGCAAGGAGAGTTTGTTTCCTAGGGGAGTGGACTTTGAAAGAGGGTGGGGAGACGCCGGAGAGGAGGCACAGAAGGAAGAGAGTGGTTTTGGGTGTGCAGATCTGTCTGCGTCCTTGGACGTAGTAGAGGGATGTCCAGGGAGGATTCAGACCAGAAAGTTGGGAGCCAGGCTGTGGAGGCTACAAGTTGAGTGGAAGATGTGGATTTGATATTGTGAATGACGTTTTTGGTTTGGAGTAACATAACAGCCTGTTTTGAAAAAGTTGCTCCTGGCTCTACAGCCAGCCCCACGTCTTACGGGTGGAGGCTGAGGCACAGAACTGTTTTAAGTAACTTTCCAAATGTGACCAGGCCAGGCGGCGGTAGAGGTGAGTGGTGATTGCAGAAGGGCCACTTCCAAATATGGTGCATTTAACTATTATGTGTGATAGTCCCTACAGTTTTTGTGTAGAGCATCATTAGCATAATAAACTCATCTTATTTAGTTTAACTTTTGTTCTTTTAAGTGAAATCTCTTCCTTCAGTTCCTTTAACCGACAGTGTTGTCTTGGATAATCTTGGACCATTCTTCCATTTGAGTTGTTCCTCTTTTTCGCTTAGATTGAGCCTTAATTCTTCAAACTAGATTTATGATTTAATGACAAACTTGGTCTTCTACTGCTTTCCAGCGTGAATTCACCTCCTTTTTGGTTCCACACACATACTAAATTGTTCTTTGGTCTTCTTAAGACTGGGGAACTACACCTTGTTTTTCTGTGTATCTGTAGTGCCAGAGAGCCAGCACATTACATTTTGAGTTCTCAAAGCCTGATACAATTGACCTTGGAATGCCCCTGCCAATTTCCTAACCAAGTTCCTCCATTTGTTACTTTGTTATAAAATCCCCAGCAATGTTATAGTGTAGCATGTACCACTTTGTATTACAAATTATCTGTTTACATGTTTTCCTTCAAATTGTGTTGCTTTTATGACTTTGATTCATAAAAAGGAGTAATATGTGGTCTGATAAAATTACTTCCCTTTCTAGGAGTTGGGAGTATTGTAATTTCTGATAGGTCTTTTAAAAAAACTCATTGATGAGAGAGACGGAGAAAGAGAAAGAAACAGAAACATTGATTTGTTGTTTCACTTATTTATGCATTCATTGGTTGATTCTTGTATGTACCTTGACCATGGGTTGAACCTGCAACCATGGCTTATGGGAATGACACTAATTGAGCTTCCATGCCAGGGCCTCTGATGGGTCTTGAACACACCAAACTTGTTCCAAAGAAGATTAGGACCTCCTAAGCTTTCAGTGTCCTGTGTTGTAGAATTGACATTTCAATAGAGACTTACTGTGGTAAGATTCAGCATCTCAAAGGGTTAGGCAGAGAAGAGCACTGGAAGGAGGATTTCTGACCATAGGCAGCTTTGACCAACCAGTTTCCAGTTCTGACATGCTGAGTTTCATCTAACTCTTGGAATGCTCTGTTATTGTCACTCACAAATCATTTTTCTTTGTACTCAGCCTATTCATTTAAGTACTTGTAGGACCTGAAAAGAAATTGATGCTAAAACACCTAAATTGATGCCAAACCATATTATTAAATCTGTTTTTATCATTTTCACTTAAAATAGTAGTAGTTTAGGGAATTATGATGAGAGAGAAGCATTGATCAGTTGCCTCCTGCACACCTCCTATTGGGGATGTGCCTGCAACCAAGGTACATGCCCTTGACTGGAATTGAACCTGGGACTTTCAGTCTGCAGACTGATGCTCTATCCACTGAGCCAAACTGGTTAGGGTTATTTCTTGTTTCTTTAATGGGCATTTGTAACTACCTCCTTGGTTTTTATTATTTGTGAAATTATAATGTTCAGTAGCAATAAGCCTTCTTGACCTTCTGTCTCAAAATGTGTTTATATATAGTGCCTGGTTGCTTCTATAGATATTGTAAACTGCTAAAAATGACTGGATATTCTATTAAACTGTGCAAGTTTTCAGGTTTTAAGGTGCTGTTTGCAGTGATATTTTGTTGAATAACCTATAAATCTAGTTTCAACTGCCTGTACACTTCACTGCCTCCAGCATAAAAGGGATATAAAAAGAAACTTGCTACCTCAGCAAGTTGAAATAATTTTCTCCTCTCACAGTAGCATTTGCTAAATCAAGTAAAAATTTCATAGTAACATTTCAAGAATCAAAAATACAATTATATTACTTTTTGGCTTATGTTTTCTCTCTCTCTCTCTCTCTCTCTCTCTCTCTCTCTCTCTCTCTCATTTACTTATAATGTTATAGTTAAGTTTCATCCTCTAGAAATTCTGACTTTTTGAAAGGTGTAGGATATGGAAGTTGCTGAAGAACACTACCTCCAAATAATTTTTAGAAAAAGCACATTGCATTCCCAGCAATACAGACATTTTTATGTGAAATTGAGAAACATTTGTGAAATCATGAATGACAAAACAAAACAAAACTAAAAACAGAGAATGTGGTAATGTGGGGCGGGTAAAAATGTGTTGTGATAATGTAAAGTATTGACAGGGGTGTCAAATCAAAGATCATGGTGGCAGAAAAGAAGCACATTGGTAATGTGGAGAATCTGAAAGAACCACCTTGTTCTACAGGGCTGGACAGAGCCTCTATGAATCGTAGTAGTGTACGAGTAACCCTGTAACATCTGCTCAGTGGGTCTGAGTCTGTGCACATGTGAGTGCTTCTCACACATATTACAGTTGTACAGCCTTTAAAGTAGAGATAAATAGCTATTTTTCATCCCTCATCTTGTTGGGTACATCATATTACCCAAGAAGACATCTTGTGACAGGTGATTTCTTTAATAGAGTGTCACTGAAAGTATAATAATCTGCAACAGTAGTCAGTTATAATGCAGTATTGTCTGTACTGAAATGCACATAGTAAATACATATTCCTCTTATGCACAGAGCACTCTGGTTTTTGTTGGGAAGGTGTACAAGACAGGCAGAATTTAAACATGTTATACACTGATATTTTTCTTACGGCGTGTCGGTGAAAGTAGTTACCTCACTCTTAGGAAATTTGGAAGGTTTTCTAGAACTAATGTAAAAACAGTATGTTGAATATACCATCTGATAATAGGGTATGTTGTCTTTGTCTTGGGAAAACACAGTAGATTCATTAATGCACTTATTCAACAAATAATTATTGAACATTTTGTTGTGGCAGGCTCTTTCTACGGTACAGTCGGATGTAGTCTTATGGGGAAAAAGGAGAAGGGACATTGTTTTCTAAGAATTTATAAAAAGGGAAATTTATTAACTGGTGAATATAATAGAATCAGAGGTATGGAAGGAGAGTGGACTGATGATGATTCTCAGGGAGAAGGGGAGTGGGGGTTCGGGAAGAGACTGAACATAAACTGTGCACCTATGGATGAGGACAATGGGGGGTGGGGAAAGGGCAGAGGGTGGGGTGGGAACCTGGTGGAGGGGAGCAATGGAGGGAAAAAAAATGAGGAACATTTGTAATAAGAACAATAAAGATTTAAAAAAAATTAAAAAGGAAATTTGATGTCTTCCTGGTGGTCAGAGAATGTTCCCTGAGATATGGAAGATGATTGGAAATTAACCTAAGTTAGGGGAAAGCCAAGGTCATGCAAAGGGGGGTCCAAGATCTGAAGGTCCAGGAGGGAAGGAGGTCAGTATAGAAAAGGGGTATAATGAGATGGGGTTGGGAGATTCTCAGGAGCTAGATCATGTAGCTCAAGCATCAGAGACCATGGTAAGTTTTGTTTTTGTTCTGGAGGCAATGTAGAAGTTAGTTGAAAAGTTTTATCAGGGGAGGGTTGAAATAGAGATGGCATCATGGTTGAGTTTTGAAATAACTTCATATTGAAGAAAAAGGATTGGAGGTGAGCAGGAGTAGATGGATGGAGTGGATGATGGTTGCAATGGAGAGCAGTAGGTTGAATTGAGATATTTAGGAGGTAAATGGACAGAACTTTTTGCTGGATAGGATATGGAAATGAGAGAAAAGGAAGTGTCAAGGGGTTGATTTCTAGGTTTTTGGTTTGTATATGTGAATTGGTTAAATGGAGACTGTTAGAAGAGGGCTTCATTTTTGAGGGAGGGATCATGAATTGAAGGTGGGC